CATATACCCCAATCACCTCGCTCTGTGAATCGCCTTCACTCTCACAATTGTTTTCGCTGCTCTCTTCACTGAGAATGAAGGTATCTGAACTCGCTTCACTATCATCAGAATCCCTCATCGCTTTAATATCTCTGCACGCAATTGAAATAACACAAAATAAATATCTTCAGATGATTCAAACATTCATCCTATTAAAAAGTAAACGCATGCAAATACCTCAAATGTTCTGAACTTCGCGTTACTGCAAATCGCCTTCACTCTCACAACTTGCGTTGTCAGGTTCACCCTTCGTCTAATCCAAATTTCAAACCTAATCAGTGGACTGGAGAAGAAGAGATTCAGATTTTGAGCAAACCACCGTCGAGGATGAGCTTTTCCGCTGCAATTTCTCGCGCGTTGGGTTTTTCGCCTAAGAGACGATTCAAATCTTTGGTGTCAGATTCGTACCAGAGCAGTTAATGAGGAAAGAGAGTGAGGTAGGGGAAGTGATTCAGCATCCATATCAGCACCCACGTCGGATGGTAACCGGCATTTGACCTAGAAACGGGCTAATGACTCATTAGTGAAAGAATTGTGTAAGTTGGGGGATTTTTGTGAAAGGATTTGAAGTTCAGGTACCACTTCGAAATTATAGCTAAAGTTCAGGTACCATTGGTAAAATTTACCCGTAAATTCTGTAAAACTAAACATTAAGATTTTTTCAAAGTGGCTCCTAATTTCCTCGTCTAACTCTAACCAAAGACGACCCGCAATGACTGGCCGCAAGTGATGTAACTGTATGCGTCAATGTGTAAGTTTACTCCTACGCAAGCACGGAGGTTTCTTAATTGCTAAATCTAGATAGAAATATTTGTACTAAATAGTACTAAAATATAAGTCTTTTTTTAAATAACACTTAATCTGTTTTTTTTTTCTAAATAACACTTACACTATGTTTGGTTCAAGGAATTTGGAAGAAAAAGAAAAGAAAATGGTTTTCTCTCATTTTCTTCACCAAAATGGAAGGAATTTGGTTTTTCCTCCACTTGGTACATTTTGCCTTCTCATTTTCTTTTCCTTCCACTTTTCCTTTCTTTTTCTCTCTAACCAAACACGAAAAACTGTTCTCCACTTCATTTTCTTTTCTTTTCTCTTTCAAATTCCTTGAACCAAACATAGTGTTAATAATGTCGATGAATAATGTCCTGTGATAGCGAACATTTACTTGAATAATGACTAATAATGGGTTTTGACTGAAGGTGCTACATTGGAAAAAAACACATATGATACTATTTAGGGAAAGTCGTTATGTTTTAGTGCTACTTAAGTAAATTTACTCGGTAGAAACACATACTTTACTCCAATTTAATCCATGATTTGCGCTCAAAATTCAAAAAAGAAAAAAAAGAGGTGATCGAGGTCATAATAGTAAATTCACTCCGGGATGGTTTTGCTACTTAAGCGTACCCACCCTCCCTCCCTCCTCCTCCATCAAAATGAGTATGAAGACTTGTTGCAGTATAAGTATTCCATTTGCCCCAATGATCATCGTCATCTTCCTCCTCATCATTTCTTCCGCCTCCACCGCCGCCGCCGCCGCCACCTTGGAAGAAGACCTCCGTTTCATTAATGGAACATGCACAAACCAAAGCCAGCCCGACGCCGCCAAGTGCTACGAATTGCTCTCCCCCTTCGCTGAGAAAGCGGACGGAAACATCACCAACCTCATTGCGTTGGCCGTGCAGCTCTGCATAGACCTGACCAACACCACCGCCAATAACATGTCTTCTTATTCCGGTTCCCACCCCAACGAAATCAAGACGGCGGACCCGAAGGCGGCGATCGACGGCTGCATCCAAAACCTCACGTCCTCCGTGCAGAAGATGTCCCCGTCTGTGAGCCAGGTGAAAAACCTGATCCATAAGAACAATACAGAGTCGTTTCAACAGGAGGGTATCAAAGTCGGAAGGCCCGTGGATGACGCGTATTGGGAACTACACTACTGTAAGGACAACTTAAACAATATTACTAATGCCAACGCCGCCGTGCAGGCATGGGTCGAGTATATTGGGGGGGATTTGATTCGGCTGATAGGTATTACGGAGGGGTTGTTCCTTGATTATCTTGGCACCGCGTGAGGCGGGCGGGGGCAAAACTGGAAAAAAATGTTATGTACGGAGTAGCTTGTGCATGTGTGCTTCGAGTCTAATTGCTGGTGTCAGTATGTGTGCTTCTTGTGTTTGTGGTGTTATTGTGTTTCACTTTGTCTGCGTGTTTGTGTTTTTGGGGTCGTCAATCCATTGAAAATAACGTCTCTACTCCCGAGCAGGAGTAAAGGTCTGCGTATTCACATCCTACTTTGTTGTTGTTGTTGTTATAAAGGATGCTAAAATGACACCTAATGTTTCCATTATTGATGATTGTAAGTGTTTCTAGTGTCTTTGTAATTAAGACCTTAGTATTCGGTTTACCTTTCGCTCTACCAATGTGGCCACCCATGTATTAGCACACTCTGCGCATTCTTCTTGCGACCATGGCGCAGCTCCCTCTAGCTCAGCCGTCCCAAACTAATCTTTCTCTGCTGAAGCATTTCCTTACATAATTAAAAATTATTTTTGGCCAATCCTGAAAAAAGAAAGGTGAAGATGAATCTAAACGGGCGGAGTAATATGTTCACCAAAAATATTTTATTTAGGTTTCTAATCGAAATTTACTTTGGATTCAACGAATGAGCCCAGGGAACGAAGTGGAGTCCGAGACGAAATCATGCACCTAAACTCTTACATTTGTGTGTGTTGGAGTATAAAGTCATTCTTGAGCCTTCAACCACAAGCTTGAGTTTATGTTTGACTTTGTCCATTGCAGCAAAGCGATACCAGCTTTAGCCGTTGTAACATAGCTGATTGTCCTAATGATCATCCAGTAGACACTGAACTGTTGTGTGTTTGGGAATTAAACACACAACATGAACAACTCTCTTATCCCATCTCAATCATGCTATACCCATGGACCTTTTTAAGACCCACACTGTGCATTTTCGACCTTACAGCCCTAGATTCCCTCCATTCCCCTCTTTCAGCATGTACATTGGCTAACAAGGTATAGTACCCGGCATCGCCAGTGTGTAGATTTACAAGGTTTTCTTGAATGGTTCTGATGATATCGGTTCTCTGGTGGATCCTACACCCATTGATGACTGAGCCCCAAATGCTAGCATCGACGTGGAATGGCATTGAGCTGATGATCTCATATGCTCCTTCTAAATCACCTGCGCGACTAAGAAGATCAACCAGGCACGCGAAGTGCTCTGTTTTGGGCTGGAGGCCAAAACCAAACATCGCCTTAAAATAAGACTTCCCTTCGTTCACATAGCCAGCATGACTACAGGCAGAGAGGATGTTCATGAATATAACGTCGTTTGGGCTTATACCCGAATCTACCATTTCAGTGAACAGTGATGTAGCAGCATCGATATGACCATGCATGCCATAACCACTGATCATGGCACTCCAGGAGATGACACTCTTTTCTTCCATTCTCTCAAAAACTCGTTGAGCCATTCGAAGGTCTCCACATTTAGCATACATGTCTGTCAAAGCCGTGTTAATGTACATATCATCTCTTGTTACGCCAAAGACTATGAGCTTATGGTGAATCCATTTCCCCTTTTCTAGAAATCCTATGTTAGAGCACGCTTGAATCGCACTCAAGTAAGTCACTTCACTCATCTCAAGTGAATGTGAAAACATCTCGTCAAACAAAGCAATAGCCTCATCTGATTTGCCGTTTTGAGAAAACCCGCACATCATTGAAGTCCAAGCCACAACTCCTTTGTCTTGGATCTCCTCAAATGTTGCATAAGCAGAACCCAAAAGTCCAGATTTAGAGTACATGTCAATTAGTGAGTTCTGAACAAATTCGTTTTCAGAATATCCTGCCTTGATGACATGGCAATGTACCTGTCTTCCGGTTTGGGAGAATCCAACATCTCCACAAGCTGCAATGACACTTCCAAGAGTGAAAGAGTCCGGAAGTATTCCCTTGATTGTCATCTCCATGAAGAGAACCAATGCCTCTCCACACATCCCTTCACGCGTGTAACCGGATATAAGCATATTCCACGAAATGACATTCCTGTCTTGAGATGTGTCAAACACCCTGTGGCAATCTCTTAGCCTTCTGCAACTGGCATAGAGATCTACTAACGCGGACCTCAGGATATCACTACTAGCATCGCATTCTTTAAGATCATTTCTTATAAGAAAACCGTGAACGGCTTTCCCTTCCCTTAGCCAGCATGACCTAGCACAAGCACACAAAACACTCATCAAAGTGACTTCATTGGGTTCCACAGTGGACTGCTGCATCTCAGCAAACACTCCCAACGCCTCACGATAACATCCATTTTGATTGAATCCGGAAATCATCGCGGTCCATGTACAAGTGCTCCTATTGACAGCATACCGGAAAATGGCCTCGGCACTACCCATATCGCCGCATTTCCCGTACATTGCAATAAGGGAATTGCCCAATGCCCCATCACTCTGAATGCTCTTTCTCAACATATAAGCATGCACGGATTTTGCTAATCCACATAGCCTCAACTCCCCACATGCATCTGCTGCACTAAGCAGTGTAACCGAATCAATTCCGACTCCTTCCTTTACCATTCCTCTCAAAACCTCCAAACCTTCACATGGCTGACCGTTACGTACATGGCAAGAAACGATCGAGCTCCACGAAACTACATCTCTCACGGACATTCCATCGAACAGTTTCTGCGCATAGAGTGTACACCCAAGCTCGCCATACATGTTCAGCAACGAAGTCTCAACAATTGGATCGGACGCAAACCCAGTAATAATAATCTTCCCATGGAGTTTTTGGCCGATACCCAGGTCACCAATTGCAGAGCAGGCCCTCAAAACAGAAGGGAATATGTAATCGCTCATTTGGGGAATCTGAGAAAGCATGGCGTCGTAGAGAGAAATGGCTTCGTGGAAGCAGCAATTCCATACGTGGTTCTTGATCAGGACGCCCAACATGAAGGAATCGGGCTCTGGGAAGGAATCAAAGACGATTCTTGAGGTTTCGAGGGAGCCCATTTTAGCATAGGACTCTATGAGCTTGGTGGAAGGTTGGGGTGCTTTGTGGAGACCCGTGACGATGAGGCGGCCATGGAGTTGAGTAAGCGATCTTGAGGTCGTGCAGGCTCTGAATAATGGCATGTAGAGTGTACTCATTCTTGCTGTTCCAGACTTGCAGGTCCAACCATGGCTGCTGGGAACCCATACGACTCATAAAGACAAGGTAAACCATATGACTATATGAGTATTCTATAGTATCTATACCAAAAAATAGTTGTTCTCATTTTCACTCAGTATTTAACAAAGGAAAATCATAAAGTCACAAATATATAATTTACAAATTTTAAAAATTTGTTTTTTTATAGATTTTAATTTAAAACATCTTTTATTACTTGAGTACATTTTATTTCTAGTAAAATGTTAAAAAACAAGTTTATTAATTTTGTAAACTATTTGTTTATGACTCTAACATTCCTCTTCAACAAAAAGAACAACTAAATGATGAATTAAGAGGAAGTAAATTAGGTATTAATCATTTTTTTGAGAATCTAACCCATTTTTTGTGAATTTTTATTATCCATTTGATAAAATAATATTATGTGTCTCAAATTAAATTTCTTTTTTGTTTTCTTACAGTTTTAAGAAAAAATGGAATTTTTGGTTGAAATTCATGTATAGGAGAGAATTAATATGGACTACCCAGTAGAATTTTTCAAATGGTTTGAGTGGTAGGAAGTTCATTCGCCATGATTCATGGGAAAGTTCGTTCAAGTTTGAATCACAGTGGGGACAGAAACATTGACTCATTGTGCATCATTAGGTTTAAAAAAGTATAAACAAAGGAAAAAGATTAAAGTAGTACTCTGTACATCCTTTGTTCGTATTTGAGGTGATATGTTATAAATTTGGATATATAATGGTATAGTATATTCATCATATATAAATATATTTTTAAAGTCATTGTTAGAAGGAACTGGAAGGAGTTGAAAGGAAATAGAAGAAGTTAAAAAAATTGGCAGGAGATGGATGGAGTTGTAAGTTAATTTTTCTAATTCAAAAGAATAGAGCGTATGTCTTGAAGGGGAATCTTGCTTCTCTTTTTTACGTATAATTCACAAAGTTTTATTTGGGCCGAGACATCAGTTGTATGTTAGCCATACATTTTTTATTTATTTAAAAAATGTTGTATTCAAACTAGACGCATTTTTTGGGACGGGAAGAGTTAATTTGAATGAAATCTTTGGTTTGATTGTCGAGCTTCATCCCTGCATATTCATTGCATTTACTTAAAAATGGGCAAGATTCTTTTGGCGCAAGCCAAAAATGACCTGAGAATGACCCGAATAGTTTGAGACAACTATAATATTTTGTTGATAAAATTGATAGTTCTTACTCCTACCCCCCTTTCCCTCCCACAGATGCCGATTGGGCAGTCAAAATCGGCAATCTAGGGAGACTGGGGTGGAGCATAGAGGTTTAGGGGTAAAAACATTGTAGGCGTCCTGAATCTTTTTAAGGTCAAATTAAAGTGGCGTGTTTGGGAACTGAAATTTAAACTTCAAATCCGGATATGGCTCAAATTCCATACTTCGAAAATCTTAAAAATTGGATTTAGATTTAAACAAATTTATCTACTCAAAACAAAACTCTATTACAAATTCATATATCTCTCCTTGTCATTTGGAATTCAAGAATTCAAATTTTGAAATTAAAATAAAATACCAGTTCCGAAACACTACGGTCAAAAGAGCCATGATGCTTAAAAATTATTCACATGTATATGTGTGTATGTAGGAAAAAATCAAATTCTATAGTTGTGCAAAGAGTCTCATTAGCTTCATCTCAATATAAATACACATAACTCACAAGAAACCACAATCATATTGAAACAACATTTCAACTAGAAAGCCATCAATACAGGGCAAGTAACTGATATATATGGTAAGAAGTCCAAAAAAAACACTTACTTGCACAAGTGTTCAGAAGAGAGGTTGTAAGTTGGTAACTACAGCAGACTAAAGATAACCGAAATGATAGCTGTTTAAGCATCTTCTCCGGGTTTCTCGTCTTCTTCGTCATTGGGCAGCTCGTGTCGTGGCCTCTTGTACTTCTCTCGCAGCTCTTTGATAGGGATGAAATCTCCGGCAGCGTCCATCCCGTAAAATAACAAGGAAATGTAGGGGTGATAGAACACATTCTGTGCACATTTAGGGGTTGTGAGTTTCTCTTCTGCAAAAAAAGATACCCTACTCTAGATTTCTACTTCTAATGCTTTCCCTTTTTTAGACCTCTAAGGAAAAGAAAACAAAAACTTTACACTCATTCAGCCACACATTTTTCACTCTTTCAACACTTGTCTTGAACCCTGTGAATGTCAAACTAAGAAGTTTTTTTATGGGGTAAAAAGAGTACTGTTTTGGAATTTGGGAGGCAACAAACCAACTTTGGAGGCTTTTGACGATAATATACCAAACGTTTTTTGGACAAGAACAGACCAACTTTTAGGAGGATTGGGGTTCATCGCGCACACTTGTACTGATTAAAACGTGACTGATTAGAATTTAGTCATTTATATACAAAAACTACCTTTGCGCTGATTTATAGCTTAATCAACTCGGTTGTGGCATGTTCAACTCAAGTACCTCCAAAGGTCGGTATGTTCTTGTCCATGACAAAACAATTGTCTGAATACTCAAAGACTGACTGCCTGTTTGGCAACAGCTTCAGTGTTTGGAAAAGGCTATCTAACGGTGACGTTTAGCTTTAGCATTTCTATAGTTAATTTGCACCATTAAAAAGTTGTTCAAAAATGCCAACACTGATTCGAAATGTTGTTCCCAAACAGGACTTAAGTTAATGCAGTCCAAAATCCCTAGTGTTTTTGGTACAATTTAAAAACAAGATATTTTTTTTCACTCAGCAAGAATGTAGTATTACTTACCCTTTCTGGTTCGCTCACGGCATCCAAATTCTCCTCGGGCACTGCATGGTAAAAAAACAAGTCACATGACTCATATTTAATGCTTAACCTTCTCTTTACAAGCTGAGATATGGTAATAAGTTGGAGTGGAAGGTAGAAGGAAAAATGTTACCATATGTAACTAACAGATTTGTGTCTGCAGAGAGATCGACTAGCACCTGCAAGTAGTAGAGTCAAGCATACTCGGCAAGCTTATCATAGTGAAAATCGGAACACTTTATAAAGGAGTTTGTTTATTAGATATTTGGCGACCGACAATAGAAGAGCTGCATGTGACATAAGAGATGAAGGGTAGAAATGTTAAGGTTAATAATTTTCCTGATACAAAACAAATCCAGTAAAATCCCACAAGAGTAGAGTTTGCTAAGGGTGTGTGTACGCAGACCTTACCCCTACTTCAAAATAGAGACGTTTTAAAAGACCCCAGCTCAAACACAGAAGCACAAGCAAAGTAAGAGCTCAGACACAAGAAACACACATACCGACACTAACAACTAGACCTAAATACAGGAAAACACAGAAAGCACGCATGCACAAGCTTCATAACTAAGGCAAAAAACACAGCTGCAAAAACTATACTTTAATCATAGCTCTCTAGGCATTCCTAAGTAAGGTCACGCACTCGGTAAGTTCATAAAGTTGTAAGTCTTGTACAATCACCTTCTTCTAACTCTTCCTAGGTCAACCTATATAATACCTTACCGAGTTGTTATTTATTCCGGAGTAATTTTTTCTCTTGTGTAATTGTCATTTTGATTAAACTATGGAGTAAAAAGTACCAACTTAATAGAAATCATGTTTCCATCAAGTACGAAAAATGAACCCACTCCCCAGACATCCTGGGTCCACCACTGCCTACTCACACCCACACCCACTACTGCAAGCCTTTCACATCTTCTCACTGGAGCCTCAATCAGCGGATAAAAATATTTGATACTTCTATTTTCGAGCATATCTCATATTGATATAAAGAGTTTTAACTATTAACAGTACAGTTAAGTGGCTCTTGAAAAGTGCCTACTGGATAGTGAATTTGAATTAAATGACTAAGTACCCATTTGCTGAGGATTGGAAGTAAATTTGGATTAAATGACTCAATTTTCTGAAATTGTCGCTAAAAGCATGGAGAGACTGATTGTCTACAAATATAGTTCAAATGAGTTTTTTTATATATTAAATCAAAGGAAATGTCAAGAAACCAACTCAACCAAATTAAAAGTCCAAGCTTGTGATATTAGTCACAAGAGATATTATATACTCTAACATCCCTCCTCGCATGCACACAAAACTTATTTCTGCTTGAGCATATTAGGGAAACATTGATTTTTTTTCAGTGAGATTCGATCTTGTGACTTGTGATATCTAGGTCAAGAATGCTCTCATACCCATTCACGACTTCACCGTTGTCCCACCTAAAGAAAATTTACACGTGGGGGAGTGGGCGTGTTAGCGTATGTAATATATTTTCTGGGTCGTCTTTTCAACCGCAAGTTTGAGCTTTTAGGTGAGTTGGTTTCTTAACATGTTAAAGAATGAACTCAACCAAAAGCCTGATTGTAGGCCTACGAAGGGTTTTATACTCTAACACGCGCCTTTTCAGGAGAAAGCGGGATTTGTTTTTGCTCGAGTCATGCACATGAGCATTACTTTTTTAAACACTAGATGGCAATGAAGTTCGAACTCGTGACCTCTAAGCCAACAAGGCTTAAATACCATGGCAAATTGGCAAGAAACCAACTCAAATAAGAGCTCAAACCTGTGGTAGTAAGCACAGAAAAAGTTTTACTCTTATGCTGGAGTAGTAAATAATATCTCAATGAAAAAAGATGCCAACTATTTATTTTGATGCATATTATGGTTTTCGAACTAGATAAAACATAATGTGTCTTGCTCAACACACATCATGCTCCCTGTCTTTCTTAATACATAAACAGAGTTCAAGAATTACCTGATAAAAAGGCTGGTCAGGACCGCGGGACAACTTTTCAACCTTGGCATTCTCCATCCATGAAGTTGATTCACAGCACACCGGATCAATCCCGCATATAACACCGTGATATTCTTGAATACATAATTACACATTCACTTTGAGTGCTAGAATTAGAAAACTACATGCAAAGTAGTGAAATGCAGCTCAACATCTACTAAGAAGTAGCTAAGCAGGCAAACAAGTATTGGCAAACACAATAACATGGTTATGCCCCATGTTTGGCAAGAAAAAAAATGGAAGGAAAATAAGAGG